TTCGTTCGCTTTCGAAGCGTGACTTGATGCTGATTGTTTGCAGGCGTTATAAAATGTTCTGAAATATATAATAGAGAGAATTATAAAAAAAATTTTTAATAAAATAGCGCACTTTCCCTTTCAAAAACATTATGCAAAAAGTCGACTTTACCTAAACACTTCGAATAGGATATCATCCAAAATCACTGGTCCGATATCCACTTTATCAAGTAATGAAACGAGTATTCTATATGGCTTCAGATCCTGTGAATCCTTCTCACATACGTCTTTAAGAAGGTATTTTATCGCTTCGACTAGCATGTCTTTCGAATATATATCGAAATACGTTATGGAATCAGTGTCTGCTTGCGTTTTCTTCTTTAAAATTGACGTGCTCACTTCAGTGCCCAATAACCAGGCAAACAAGCGCCTATGAGAAAAGGGTGGAGTATATAATATGGAGTAAATAATAATTATAAGAGAAATTCCTCGAAATAAATAATTTAAATTATCTGCAAATTTGTTACTGAAGATTGTTCTCGAAAATTATTATGTTGCATCTTTTCTCACCTGTTTAAACTCATGTCTCTTCGCAGTATAGTAACCAGAGCAGCTTTGATTAATACTATCATATCTTCACGTGTCAATTGACTATTGTGAATAGGAAAGCCTATCAATAGAAAATCTAGTGCACTTCTTTGCACTAACACCGAAGTATCTTGTACTCCGGCACATAAGGCTGAAACCTATCACAAGATGAATAAGTGAGACTTAATATTTGAGAATATACTTAGTATTTCAAGTACAAGATTTCTCTTACCATGATTTTAACATTAGTACCCATAATATATTTTTGATCCTCCATCAGCAGCTTTTTGTTAAAATGAGCCAAAACGAATGATATAGCAGGCAATCAGATGCCAGAATTTGAAGCTAAACAGTCCCACAGACACGCGTAAAAGTGTTCTGCACCGACACCCTCGCACACTTTCTCCAATAAGGAGTTGGTTCTGAAAAGATAATATGTATCTCATAAATTTCTGTGTTTCATAAATGTCTATTCATTGTGTCCTAAATATGATATGGATATGTCAATTTAGCATACCTGTCAAAATGATCAGAACCATCTTCTAGACCTAGAAGAACACCACTTAGAAAACCACTTAAACCTGGTCTTAACCTTTCACCAAGTGGCACAAAGTGTGTCTCGTACACTGTCAACAGCGATGGCCTCACGTTCATAGCAGCATGACCCAATAATGGAAAGAGGCCTGTTTAAAAACAAATAGCATACAAAATATTAAAAGACTATTTATAATAATTTCTGTTAATTTGCACAACATACATATACATACCTGCACTATAGATAAAGAGCTCATGGCTGAGTCTATTAGTGCCCATACATTTAAAAATAATGTCATAAGTTTCTAAAGCTTTTAAATGAACACCAGAAGGTAATGCTGGATGCATGCATTGTGCTAATCTCTTTGAAATTTTAATTCTCCTGGGAATAACAGGAAATTTCATATGACTAAGTAACACTTTGTTGAGTTTTCCTAGTGCAGAAATTAGATCTGCCCATTCACTCGTATATTCAAAGCTTTTCAGAGCCTTATCAACAGCGGACACATAGCTGCAATAAATAAAAAATATTATAGTATATACACACACATGGGATTTTAATTGTTGCAGTCTTTATTGGCATTGTTAAATAACTTATGTACTAAAAAATTATAATTATTATCAAAATAGTATGAAGAGAACAGAAAATGTTTAAAAACACATATCAATAATTTCAAATGATAATGTATTATTACTGTACACTCACACTCTGTATTTTGAGTCTTTCATCAACTCGTATTCCTCCAAAGCGATGGAACC